ATGTTGATATACGGGATGAATATAGTTCCTTTACGCGTAGAACGACGTTTTGTACCCTCGATTACAGCACTAATTGCAGGCTAGAATGAATTGCTTGAGGAAGGTTTAACAAGGGGTGGTGTTTTGGTGGTTTAAATACGGCACAGGAAATGCATTAGCTCCGTGGGGTGGGAGAAGAGTAGAATTCGCTCCAGGCGTCTATTTCTGGCTGGGCGTGTAGTACATGGAGTGCAGGAAGAGGCGAGTCACCTCGCCGATCACCGAACGGTCGGGTATGCTCTGGGCCATGCCGTAGAGAGCCATCTTTCCTTCCACGGGATGGCCGGGATCCTTCATGATCTCCGCCACGCAGCTGCGGACATCGGCAATGAATTTATCCGCCACTCCCGGCTGTGTGTGCATGTCCGTCACGCAGAGGTGGATACTTAAATGGGAGTATTGCCTATTAGAATGGTTTCGCTAATTAAGAGTTGATTCACCTACCCAGATGGGAACTGCAGGGCATTCAGGTTCCAGCCCAGTTTGCACAGCGAGTCCGAGAGACGGAAAATATCAAACACATTGGAGCCCAGGGCAATCACCGAAGTGGCTGGCTTGCCAAAGATAAAGATGCCATTGATGTCGCGAACGCTAAAATCGAGATTTGTGATTAACACTTATTTAATTTGATTTCCTAGCAATCCTTACCCCCTTTCGATGTAACGAGCAGTGTCCACTATGCGCTTGGTGGCCTCCAGATAGCCATCATAGCCAAAGCTCATCATGGTGGCCCAACAGGCGGCGATAATGCCTCCGGCACGCGAGCCATTTACGGTGGGAGAGCCGTAGACGCCGCCCGGCCAGTCGGTGGTCACGGTGAACTGGTGGTCCTTGTACTTCTTGTCCGAATAAAGGATTACCGACGATCCCTTTGGTGCGAATCCGTACTTGTGGGTATCAGCGGAGATGCTGGTCACTCCCTTGACCTCGAAATCGAAGGGACGCAGCTTGTAGCCAGCGTTGCGGACCAGGGCCACCACAAAGCTGCCCAGGCAGGCATCCACATGCACGGGAATATCGTATTTAACGCCTAGGGCGGCGATGGCTTCGATGTCATCGATGGTTCCATAGGGGAAGTTGGGGGCAGAGCCAACGAGCTACAGGGAAAACATAAATTTAGATATCAGGATATAAAATTATCCATAAAAATCCCTACCAGAATAGTATTCCTGTTAATGGCACGCTTGAACTTCTTGATGTCCACTTCGTAGGTCTCCGGATCAACGTCCACGGAACGCACATGAATGTTGAAGTACTGACCGCCCTTATCGAAGGCGGCGTGCACGGTCTTCGGCACAACGATGTTCGGCCTGGTGATGCCCTTGTGCTCCCGTGCGTAATCCCTGTAGGCCTTCATGGCCATCACAATGGACTCGGTGCCACCGGTGGTCATTGTGCCGCAGCTGGCGGAGTTTCCGTGGAATAGGTTACAAGCCATTCGCACAACCTCAGCCTCCATTTTGCACACGCCCGGGAAGAGATCCGCGTGCAGGGGATTCGTGTAGGAGGCCTTGCCGTAGACCTCAGTGACGAGCTCCACCAGCTCTGGCTTGTAGCCGTAAACTGCACCGGATACCCGACCATCCCGCCAGTCGTAGTGACCGGTCTTCAGGTGCTCATCCACCAGCCGGAGGATCTCCTCCTTGCTCAGTCCCTTCTCGGGCAGCGTTTCCGTGTAGCTAAGGTGGGCGTTGCTCTTCTTGATGTCCGCCTCAAAGTCATTCTTAGCCTTGGCCAACTCGGTCTCCACCTGACGACGCACGGCGGGAATCTTCTTGGCGTATTTGAAGAACTGACGCTTGCCACGGATGTAAAGACCTGGGGAATAGTTAAATATGGTATTAATCACTATGGACGGCAGTCCATGTAGTGACGAAGCGCACCAGGAGAGTGTGCGAAGGCGACTACTATTATATAGCCGCAAAATTGAAAATCTGCTGTGATAGTCCGATCGTAATGAGTAATACACCAATCGAAAGGTATTGCAAAAACTTAAAGGATTGCATACCAAGACTTTAAGAAAATCAATTGGCTTGGGAGAGAGAGCGGTGAAAGTGAAAAAGTGAAAATTTCGAAATTTGGAGCTGTTGGGGCCGGTGGGGATAAATGCCCCCTCGCAATGTTTTAGTTGTATTACTTTTGAAAATACCCGTCGAATGAGGGGTCATTTGTCAAAATCCGACGCTCCGTTCAAAAGTTGTAGCCAAAATAAGATTTTCTTCGTCTTCCCAAAATGAAAATTTAATTCTGTTTGTCAGTTTGTCAGTTTGTCAGTTTGTCCAAAACATGTTTTTTAAGTTTTGAAAATTTGATATGACGTTCATCACATCGATATAAACAACTTTTGTTCTACCACTTTTGGAAAAACTCGCTAGTTTAGCGGGAAAACAGCTATAAGTAGCTAAAATTCGGAAAGCCGTAACTTCTATACTACTAAATCTACAGGCTTGTGCTGCATCTCGTTTGAAAGGTATTTTTAAATGCTATAAACGCCTTCTATATGCAATTTGTGTAAATGTAATAGTTAAAAAGATATGAACAAAAGACAATTTTTTAAAACTTTTTTTTAGCTTTTTTTATTTTTCTCAAAAACGGCTCTAACGATTTTCTTTAAAACCTTAAACTGTATAGCCCTTGAGATTCCTTAAATTTTGGTATGTAACACATTACTGTAAAAAGTCACGTTTAAAAGTTATTTTTATTCGAAAATAGCCACTTTTGCCAGCTCGAACAATTAACGCTCCCTGAGTATTGAATTTTGTGGGAGGGTATCCGAACTGTATTTTAGGGTCATGGAATCAGTAAATTTGAACTTAAGAGTTCCATATAGGAATCTTTTGTTCTACGACTTTTGGAAAAAGCCGCTACTTTAGCGGGAAAAAGCTAAAAATAGCTAAATTTCGTTAGTTTGTAAGTTCTACACTACTAAAGGTACCGACATGTGCTATACATCGTTTAAAAGGTATTTTGAAATACTTAAACGCCTTTTTAACTTAATTTGTTTAAATACAATGGCTTAAAAATTATGATTGATCAATTTAAATTTAAATGTATGTATATATTAGCTCCTATGTGAGCAAATGTAAACAAACAAAAACTTCTGATATCAAAAAAAAACACCTCTTAACGAGGTAAAAAACTAGTGACGATCGCACCATCAACATACAAAAGTTCTGATATCAACATTTGTGACGAAAAATTATTACACTCGTCATTAAATAGACTTTCTAATATTTTCTCATTCGGCACGCTGCAATAGAAAATGCCTGTGAAGGGAAAAATGCTGGAATAGTTTGCTAGGGAGGGCCGAATGAGAAAATATTAGAAAGTCTATTTAATGACGAGTGTAATAATTTTTCGTCACAAATGTTGATATCAGAACTTTTGTATGTTGATGGTGCGATCGTCACTAGTTTTTTACCTCGTTAAGAGGTGTTTTTTTTTGATACAATGTAGTTTAAAAAAGTGTTCCTAGCAAATAATCATTATTCTTAAGATTATTCTTATACCGAATGATAAATACACTTTTTATAATAAACCTTTGTAAAAGACACAATATAAAAGCTAATATAATCTTTATCTTGAGGTGAACAGACTCAAAACAAAGAACGTTTATTGAGATAAATTGTCGCCTGATAAACGATATATGATACCCACTCAAAGTTTATCAGGTATGGCGTGTTTAGCTGTAGACGAAACTTTGGTCAAGTTTTATGGAACCCTCCAAAAACCATGCTAGGAATAGAATTTAATGCATTAGTCACGGTTCTGGGAAACTACCTAATTTCATTAGTTTTGCTACTAAGCTGACCATACAAATGGGTTCTTGTTATAGGAAATGGGGGATATCTCAATCTTATCGATTTCCTTGGCTTCACATTGTTGAACTTTGCATATCTCATTGATTTTGAGTTGCTACACGCTTTAGCAAACATTTAAACTCTAATCTAACGTAATCTGTGGCTAGATTAAATTCAGAAGTTCGGGGAGGGCACCCAACGAGTGCATGGCATTTGATCAAGCTTATATAAGGCTGGAGAACAAAGTACACAGTATAGACTGCCGATATTTATAAAATATAATAATAGTGTTTAAGCATTATTTACTTGAGAGATATTTTTCTCTCAAAATCAGTTTAGTTTTATGCTAATATACATGTGTAGGCACTATCAATATTTTAAGCTGGCTTTGATAAGAATTCATTTCTTAGTCATGTGTATATTAAGAAACTTTGAATCATTATATTATACATATCTTTCCTTTATTTTATTTTTAAATGTACTTATTTAAGTTACTTTTAAAGAATTTTAACTGTATTTATATGGGTGCTGAAGGAACGCACCCCCCAGATAAGATAGTTTGATGGATTTAGGAAAATGACGTGCCCTGCCCTGCAATTGGGGAATCTAAGGAATCGCCTGACTATGGTGACTTGGCACTATAATGTATATATGTAACCTATTCTTTCTTCTGAACTGCCCTATCTTAACTTGGGAATATATTCTCCTATAACTCACTTTCATCCTGGCAGATCACAGTCCATAGCCAGACGCCTCCCAGCACCGTGGTCGCTGTGATGGTGGCCACCTGCCAGGGCTCCTTGGCTCCGAAGGCCCGGTTGATGCCCTCGGTGACGGGTTTGATGCAATCGCTGCCGGAGAACGGACGCATCTTGTGGCAGCTGTGGGAATGGAATGGTAGAGTAGAGCTCAAATCGGGGGATCGGATGGATCCGCACTGGTGCGGTTCGAATCGTTAACTGATTTGTGGGGCCAGCAGCAAATGTGGGGCGACAAATACAAATGGCTTTGGCGGCTGATAAAGTTCTGCTTGTGTGGTGGTTTATGTACTACAAAGTACATAAGAAGCTCCCGCTTCTCGCTTTGTTGTTGTGTCTGGCCGCTCAGCTGATGCACAAACAAAGGCAGCGGTTGTTGACGCACCTGAGCGGTTACTCACCTGTACAGTGGGGCTATCGAAGCGGAGAAACGCGGATAAACTTTTAAACCTTTCTTTATTTAATAGCGGTTCCGATACCTGTTGTTCTCCGGCAATCGATACACAGCTGTTTCGATAGGCCGTGGTCAGCTGTTTGGGTTGAAAATAAACCAACGTTGCCAGATCAAAATAAAAATGTTGCGTGTTTTGCCAAACTCCTGGAAATTATCCAAATATGCAACAGGTTGGACGCCACAGGTGTTCCGCTTCGCCAGCAGCGGAGCCAATGACCTGGTCCTGGTCAAGCAGGAGCATGGAGTGCGGGAGATAACACTGAATCACCCGAAAACCCTGAATTCCCTATCGCTGGAGATGATGTCTGCCCTTCAGGATGCTCTAATCAAAGATAAGGACAACGTGGACCTGAGATGTGTGGTCCTTGGGGCCCAGGGAAAGATCTGGTCAGCGGGTCACAACCTTAAGGAGCTGCACAACGATCCCAAAATTCAGTCCCAGGTTTTCCAGAAGCTAACCGACGTTATAAACGACATACAGAAGCTACCGGTGCCTGTGATAGGAAAGGTCAATGGTTATGCGGCTGCTGCGGGCTGTCAACTGGTGGTATCTTGTGATATGGTGGTCTGCTCCAAGAACAGCAAGTTCTCCACACCGGGGTAGGTAAATCGTACCTCCAAGGAACCTTTTAATAAAGATATTAATTCCCTTTCAGCGCTGGCGTTGGAGTGTTCTGTTCTACTCCTGGTGTCGCGGTTGCTCGCATCATGTCGCGACCCAAATCCGCCTACATGCTAATGACTGGTCTTCCGGTGACCGCCGAAGAAGCCTTCATATCAGGAATGGTCACCAAAGCTGTGCCAGCCGAGGATCTGGATAAGGAGATCGAGGAAATCACCAATGCCATCAAGGCCAAGAGCCGGGCCGTCATCTCGCTGGGCAAGGAGTTCTACTACAAGCAACTGGCCATGTCCCAGGCGGAAGCCTTTGCTGCTGCCCAGGAGAAGATGTGCGAGAACTTCCAGCTGGGCGACACCAAAGAGGGCATCGCTAGCTTCTTCGAGAAGCGGCCACCCAGCTGGAAGCACCAGTAAACGGAGGTTACAACTGAAACTATGAAATACTACTGGCCAATTGTGCATTTATACTTTTAAGACACAAGAATTGTTTTTAAAAATAATTGTTTATATGTCATCGAAACTGGTCTAAATTTTTGTTTCCACAAATTATGTACATATTTTAAAGATTTGTTAAAAATGATATATTAAATAAAATTTTTATAGTATGTTATGAAAATTAAAAATAAATGATCCCAAAGTAAATACTTTAAAAACTCACAGAACCATTTTTAAACACTGATCCTGCTTCCCAATTTTTCCACGACAATTAAGAAAAACGAGTTGTCGTGCTTTCGAAAAGTGCTCATTCCTTTTTAGGTGTTTAGTTTATTTAAAAGTGTTTGGTGAAAATATTTAAAAAATACAATTACAAATTTGAATAAATAAAATGTATAAGTTGATGTAAGTGATTGTGTGCATTTGAAATTTGGCAGTTAAAGTCTGTTTTTATAGGTTTACCATTCGTTTGATTTGGTTAATTTTCAAGGAATCCGGTTCTATTGATGTGAGTCTTTTTTTATGGTTTACTTTGTTGGCAACATCGATGAGACGAAGAAAATTCCTGGGGCCGCGAAAACGTCTTGTAGAAAACAAAAAATAAATAAAATTTGTAATTGATGCTCAGCTTTCGCCGGGATTTGTTTAAATATTTGTTGAGCGCTTCCAAGTGAATTAATTATAATAGAATACGTCTAAAAGATGAACCACTCGTAGAATTTGTATTTATATATATAGTTACAGCAGGCGTCTGCATAGGTGCGCTAAATGTATGTTCTAAACGTAGGCCAAAATATTATAAACTGTGCAATAAGTATTATGTTTCTTTCATCATTTCAGATTCAGAAGAAGCTAACGAACGCGGCGATCCGCTGGCGGATCCCAATAGAAATATATGTATATAGCGCCATGCAAAGAGAATTATAACCAAGAAAGTAAAACAAATACGATTTGTTCATAGTGATACGTGCTAAACTCCTACGCGTCTATGACCCCGTGCGAAAATCCGCTGCTCCTCGGATCCGGATCCTCCGCAAAAAGGAACAAAATGTGTACAGATGTGGGTGGTGTTTCCTGCATTTCTGCAGTGCGGTTGTTTTTCTGAGTGGTGTGCAATGGTTTCCCTCCTCCCAATTTCCAGTCCGGGGAACGGGAACTTAGACCTCGGTGACGGGGCGCTTCTCGATCCAGGCCTTGATCGGTTCCAAAGCGTTGATGGCATCCACGACACCGCGCAGGGCAGGGTAGGGTTCCAGCAGGTCGCGCTTGACCATGTAGTTCATGTAGTCGGTGATGCCTGCAAAGTAGACATCAGCCCAGGTCAGCTGTGGGTGGAAGAAAATGAGATTTGAATTAGTTTTATAAACTATAAGTCCGTAAAATATCACAGCATATGTAGGTGAAGTCGTACAGAATATTGTTGTCCCTATAAACCGCGAATTCTTTAGAATAAAATAATATATTTTGTAATTCTCATGATTGTTAAGTCCCTATATCCTCGAGCAGGAGCTCGAGGTAATACACTAAAGGAGGTAATACACTAAAACGGAACGCTATTATGTTTTTAAATGGAATGAAGTATTCTGAAGAAAATATGGTCTCCCTATACGCGAATTCTTCAGTACAACAATTTCCAAAAATTCAAGGCATACTATACTCAATCATCTCAAATAAAGAATGGACTGCCCTGATCATCTTTCAAACACCCACCTTGCCCAGAGCCAGATGACCATCGTTGTCCTTGACGGTCTGCTCGAGCTTCTCCAGGTAGAATGGAATGACCTCGGCATTCAGGGTGACCAACTTCTTCTCCTTGATCTCGTCCTCCGGCTCGTACGAGACGACTGCAATTTCTATACATTAAAAATTCCAGAGTTAATCAAGGACACTGAACATGAAACTGAGGCACACATTGTTCGCTACTTAGACGGAAGTCATTGATGGTGTCAACCACAATGTCGATCTGCAGATCCTCCCACGGAGTGGCGCCGCACAGGCCGACGGTCTTGGCCAGGAAACGGGCCATCGAGATGCTCTGGTGGACACGCTTGCCATCGACTTCCAGAACGGGCATCTGGCCCATGGGCATGGCTAAAGGGGGGAGTAGAAGAAACCAGGTTATATGGATCCTTATGGTTTTGTTTTCCAGAACTCACTGGGCTTCAAAGCTGGCCACTCGTCGCGGGTAACGCGCACATCCTCGTACTCCTGGTTGCCGTAGGCGAACAGGTAGCGCAGGGGCTCGGCCAACGCCTTCACGTTGAAGTAGAAGAGCGTGTAGCTGTGCTTGATGGGCTCGGCGGGCTCTGCTGGAGGAGCGGGCTCTCCGCCCTCGACGGCACCCTCGGCGCCCTCGGCTCCCTCGGCGGGTGGTGGCGCCTCTCCCTCGGCTGGTGGTGCGCCCTCAGCTGGTGGTGCTTGTGCTTCATCGGCCATCTCTGCGCTTTCTCAATGCAATTCCCTGTGAAATAAAGAGAAAATATTGAGTCATCCACTTGGTATGCTATCATTGTTCTTATCAATGTAAAAATAAGTTACAGTCGAACTTCCTTCTGTCATCAGAAAAAGTTCTTTATGAAAATCAACCGTATTCTTCTCTATAAATAAAGGCAATTTAATCTCTATTTTTATAATTTGGGATCCCTAATTAAGAAACCCTATAAATAGAGCAGTTCCAAAAATTATTTCATTTCATGGCGAAATAGCTTAGATTGTGTTTTCCCAGTTTTTGTTTATGTTTGTTGGAAGATTGAACCCAGTTAATCAGTCGATAGCCTGGTTTTTGTGATAAGGAGAACGTGACAAATGTTTGTAGGTGAAGTGGGTCAGAATATGCGTAGGTGATAAGGATAACGCAGGGTTCGTATAACTTTTACGATCCAAGATAAAGAATGACTAGAAGATTCTACGATTGCATTGCACAAGTGTAAACAAAATACCATATAAAAAACCCGCTGGGGGGCAAACTGATATGAATCTGTTAGTTAACGTTGGTCTAATTTGGAAGCCATGTTTGCTCTCCACAGTTATTTATTCGCTGGCCTTATTTGGTAGCCGCTCAAGAATAATGCAATAAATCAAGCGCAGTCAAGGCAAAAGTAGACAGAACGGATAATTACCATAAAACTGCAATATATATACTTGGTATATATATATCTTAAGAGTATTTCCCTATAGACCCCAGCGGAAGTGCATTGATTGTCCCACAGACAACACACCCACGCACATCAGAGAAACAGACACCACTCCTCCACTGCCCACTTGGAACCCCCTATTTTCTTTTTTTTTTTTTTGCTGAGTCTCGCAAAAGTCAGGCTCAATATCTTTTGGGGCGTTGGCGCTGCTGGCAGAAGAATCGGAGGTTCTACGCCCCTGTTTCCATTGTAGTCGACACTTTTTCGTCTGGCTGGATAAATATTTAAACGTGGGATAGGATCCATGTGGAACATAAACCAGTTTTCGTTCGATATGTGTATGTAGCCGAAGTATCTTTGCCTTTGCCATCATTTTGGCAGGGCGCCCAGTCAGTCACCAAGATTTCGAACCCCTCCCTCCCCCTCTCTTTTTAGTAATGCCCGACTGGCCGCCTCTTCCGCTGCAATTCTGCAATTTTCGCTTTCGGAGCGGAGAGTCTCAAATTGCACCAATCGATTCGACTTTTCGATTCGGCGTTATCTTCTGCCTTCTTTTTGTTTTTGTCTTTTCCTGGCACTTGTTGCCATGACAGCTTCAATTGAATTTAATTTGGTCTGTCTCTGTGTTTCGGTGTCATGATTTAATTCAATTTCGATTCGCTGATCTATTTTGGCTCTTTGATCTGGCACTTTGGCACTAAAATCGAGGGAAATGGTTTCACTTTAATCGTGGGAAAAGGTTAGCGTAGATAATGGGACGCCAAGATTATCCAATTATCGAATTTGAATCCATGGGAAAGGGCAGGGATCACACAGTGGGTCAAGGACCCAAGGGGAAATGGCAGTCTACGTCAATGGGCACTGAATGGATTTGGATTCACGTGCACACCCGGCCAGATGGGCAACATTCTGAGATGAACTATAGACGATGCTAGGGGGTTATCACTAGAATTCGAAAGTCTGGGACCCCTAGTCTCAAGGCATTCACTCCATTATCAGTTCGGAAATATTCCCGATTGTCTTCGCTGGATTGTTAACTTATTCCCTCTTTCGGAAAGGTATTGATTGTGGCGTTATATAAGCCTGCGTTTCGATTTAAGGTTCTGAGTATGCACTACACTTAAGATTATTGTTCCGATTCCGACTACCTCACGCTTCGAAATACGTTCACGCACTCCACGGTCGACGGTGGTGCTATGGTCGTTTCTATATTTCTGTTCCGAACTGATCGGTTTCTGAAGTGGCAGAAGAAGAGGGCTTCTAGTTGATCGGTTCACGTCTGTGTCCTTCACATATTTGCTTGCGAGCGGGGCGAGAGATCCGCGCGAACTGCGATTCAGCGAAACGAGTTCAAAACTTTTCGATTTCGAATCGATTGACCCAAAAATCAAAAATCAATCGAAGCCAAAAAACCAACGGGTGTAATTTTAGAACCGAATCGAATCGAAACGAGACGAACGCCATTCGGTTTCGGCTGGCTTCGAAGTTCGCAAAAGCGTTTTCCAATTTTTGGCAAGGGTAAAACTTTCGTCTGAGGTGCGTAATTACATCACTAGAGTAGTTCGAAATTCGATGGATGGTTCCAGGCGCGGGATCCCATTAGCTTACCTCAAGAAAGTATAAAAAATCAGCTGGGTACTGTTCCTCCCCTCAGTTCTTCAATTTGCCAATTAACTCTCTTTCCGTTACTCTCTCTGCTCTCGACTCTCTTCGCCACCCACTGGGACGCTTTCACTTCACACGATCACCACAACGATTGCACAGCAACTGACTTTCTTCTGCCGGCGACGCTGCTTTTATACGCTCACCCACTCGGGGTCTCTCGCCAAAATGGCACTCTCTTTTAAGCTATTGGTGTTTGCCGGCCGGCTTGAGCGAGAGAGATACTAAAGGTAGAGTCTAAAAGAGAGAGAGAGAGGGTTCTAGTTTTAGTGGGCGTTGAAAAGGAAACGCAGTTAACGAATTAGTTAACATATTTAACCAGTTATTTGGTTCAGTCCACCTTCTTCTTCTTACACTCGCTTATTAGATGGAATGCAATATTCCAACGAGCTTGGCTTGGCTGCCTAATTTGGCAATTACTTTTCACAAGTCTAGTGTCTAGTCTAGTCTCTCACTCACCCTCTGTTCTTATTCCAAGTTTTCTCTCCTCCTCTATATCTCTATAGTGAATTCCTTCCCTCTCATTTCAATTATAAACCAATTATAGTATAGCGGCAAAAATAAAGGTAGTAAATATTTGTTTGTGCTTTTAGGGTGTGAAGCTTATTGACTTCCCGATTTAAAGACAGTTTAAAGAATGAAATTTTAAGAGGAGCAAATATTTATAGGTAGCTCACGCTAAATATTAAATGTTTTGCCGTACTATATATTAGTGTTTACTTATAAGTACAATCTGTAGGTATCAACAAAGTAGTTTAATCCTCTATACCAAAGTGCCTTAGCTACTATTTACTTTTGAATAGTTATTTCATTATATTCCATGTTAATCACACGTATTGGAAAAGGATTATAATACTATCTTATCATGGCACTCCCACATTCGCAGGAATTTCCGTTGCATATACAAAATCAAAGTGCTTCTATTACCATAAACAGATAGGGGGAAAATCGGCAATTAAAGCAGCCAGGAAATTTGAAACGCCCAACATTCGATGGCGGTGCCCTGGACTTTGCTTCAGTTCGATCTCGACTGGCGGTGCCTGGCGACGAAATTCGAGTGCATCTAAGATGTTTACTTATGTGGGAAGCATCAGGTTCACTTCGCAGGGTTGTCAGATTATGGGAAATTTATTAATAATTCCCATTTTAATTTAAAAATTAAATAAATTTGTATATTTACAAAAAACTATATTGTATTATTCAAATGATAACTAAATTCAATTAAATTCTAACATTCAAATTGATTCGTATAAAAGGAGCACCACTCAGAATTCGCTCTATCCGTTGTTACCGAGCGATCATCGAAGCCCTACGTCCAACCGATTCGAAAACCGCAAAGGACACTGGGCAAATCCTCACGCTGCCGAATAGAACGATTCAACTCATCAACGCGGGTGCACTTGGCTTTCAGCTAGTGTGAAAGTATGTGAAGACTGACTACAGAAATGATCCTGTGAAGTATAGTCTTAACTGTTCGCTGTCCAACCTGTGGATCTTCGTCTTGCAGAGGCCAGAACTAGTTGGGAATTACAAGGATGTGCAGTGTGTCTAATATTAGAATATGTTATACATGAACTCAAAGAAATGAGTGTTTTTTCCAGCACTTGTTCATTTGGTTGCTAATTTTAAGACGTTGTGATATTTAAAATCCTGCGACAATATGTACAAAGTTCTTGGTAAAGTCAAAATAGTTAAGTTGTTAGGCGAAATAAAAAAAGTAACGTATAACAAAATTAAAAAGTAACAGACATTTTTTAAGAGCAAATTGTCCGGCAACTCTGAATAATATGGTTTTGATATTTGCTAATACTGTGGTAGGTCGAAAACTTAGGAAGGCTAGGTTGTTAACTCTGCTAAGCCATCGTTAACACAAAAATGTTATCGTTTATAAACGTCCTCCACAAAAATGTTATGCTCAATTTTCTCGCTCTCTTAGACTCTCTTACCCTCACTGTGCACTGTGGTGATATCTTGTGGTATTTTTGTAAGTATTTTTTATTCACAATTATTCAAATAATGTTTTTGCTTAACAAAAATTTCTAAAATAATTTAAATATAATAAATAAATAATAGTTAACATTTGCCATCATAAAATATACCAGTTATTAAGATTTCAAGACAAAGAATGAATTTCACATAACTTAATATGCTTTAAGTCCAAAAAATCAAAGATACGAGCTTGTTGTATTTTTATAAAATTACAATAAATAAGTATCCAAACACATTTACTTGTAATTTAAGTTTATTATTTATATTTATAGAGGTAGAAATAAAAAGAATTCTTAAGATATATCTCTGCATTTTTCGCTTGTTTTTTACACTTGTAATTCAATTCAATTCAAAAAATTAAGTATATGACTAAGATTATAGTATTACTAGTAATTAAATTGGCATTAATTTTTTATTACATGCTTTTATCTTTTTAAAGCAGTAAGATTATTGTACCTAAATATTAAAAAAGGTGTTTATCGAGTACTCGACATAAACTGTTAACAAATTTAAGTGATCAAAAAAAGGTGTTAAAAAAATATGCCATAACGATCAATGGGACTCCCACAATTTCCAGGTTTTACCACTCCCAATCTTGCGTTCTACCTTAATAAATACAATAAAACGCAATCGATTTCACCAGTTTGCAAAACCATGGGACTCCCACAGCTGTGAGGGAAGAATTCCATGCGATTTGGCCACTTTTTGTGTTGGCGGGGCAGAGAGTACGCTCGAAAATGTGCAAAGATAAGCATAAAGCGGTGCAAAAGTAACAAAAACAGAAAAAGCCCCCGAAAAGTGAGCCCACAATTCTTGGAGATTCAAGTTAAAATCCACAGAAAACGACCGATTTGTGGCCTTAACGACGAGTATTCAGCTCTTCATTTTGTGTCGGAGGTTTCGATTGCGAGTGTAGACTTGGTTTGATAAGATATGGCAATCATTGCCGATAAGGCAGACATTTCAAACATGCTGACGAGTGCATAATCGAGTGAAACAGGTGAAAAATATATGACAAATCAGAGCAAACTCACCCGCACAGCCTGTAATGCGATTGAAAAATCCAAAGTTTATTTGGCACACTGCAAGTTAGTCAGGGAAATTTTCGGTTCGTTTTCGATTTTGAAGTTGCTCTGCCAGACTGCCTGGTTGTGGGGGAATTTTCTCCGCATTCTTTTGCTTTTCTTTCTTGGCGAAGACCAAAAAGTTACTGCACAGGCAAAAATAAGATGAAGTTGGATTTTATATATAATGTAAATTTAATTATTAGGTCGAAGTAGAAAATATTGTGAGTTTATTGTTGAGTTTTTAAATTTCTCAGTTATTTAAATCAAATTATGAAAATTCAACAATTATAATTGTATTTGGTTTAATTTTAAAATATGTATATATTGTTTTATAAAGGGTTTAATATCTTTTATAAGGTTTATATATTTTTCGAAGTAAGTTAATTATTTAAAGCAAATTATGTAGGTGTAATTTAATTAAATTTTAATATACTTTTTTTTCGGTTTTGAAGTGTTTAATATCTAAAATACTATTTAAATTTTTATGGAATGAAAATATATTCAAGAAATAATGGTGTTTTCCATTAAAAACAATAGTATATTTTCTACATTTTAAATTTTTATGAAATGTGTTCAATAAATGTTTAACACATTTTTATAAGTAACGAATTATTTTCCGTGTGGCCTAGACTAATTAAGAATTTATGCCGCCTGCAATTGCACTCCAGAAATAAAAGGCAAGGCAAAGAACGAGTGGCGGAATTATGACAATAATTTGCTGTGGAAAATGCGACACAGAACGGAACCGCTAAGCCCGAGAGAGCAATCTAAATAATACAGAAAAAGAAGGCGAGCGCATATAAAAAATTATAACTAACTCAACGGGCAAACAGTTAAAACCGAAACCAGACGGCGGGAGCGTAAAAAGATATAGAAAGAGCGATATGGCCAGAGAGAGCTTGTCCAGATCGGGAGAGGCGATAATTCTCGCACTTGCTGCACTGCGAATTATTCCGTATTCCATTCCCCCGTTCAGTGGCTCAGTGCGAATTCAAATGCGCAGGTGAGCGAACGTACCAACCGTCGGTAAATCAAACGATTCGGCGATCGCTGTCAAGAACCATATAACCAGCATTGCGTATACGCAGCGTGTGCCGTGACCTTAAACCCAGCCAAAAACCGATTAAAACTCAAACAATGTAAGTGCTAAAATTGGCAAGCCAGTTCGAATGCCAAATAGTGAAGAATGAAGAAATAAAAATGAAACGTCTGCACGCGCTTACAAAACTGTCTCATTAACACGTGCCCACAAATTATGAACTGTGCATGAAAACATTAAAACCTGAAAATCAAACTCTAATTTTAATCAAGCAAATAAACGCAAAAAATGTGACTTTTTCCTCGAATCAGTTTGGCCGTAAAGCTGTTTTGGTTTATATGCATAGTCTCCGTACTGAGTCGTGTCAGTAACGAGCGGTTTTCCCACTTTTAGCCATTATTCTGTTTGCCTTTATCTCTGTAATCGGCTGACTAAACAGTAACACGGCGCTAGAAACTCTCTATTAATGGGCCGCAAAAACGTATCATCCAAATGTGCCTCACTTCAAGGTTCTATATAGTACATACTATATCTATTTGTTTACCTATCCGTTCATCGATTCGATTCGAGATAGTGCAAACGAAAACTTCCCCTTTCCTGATTACTGGAGTTTATAAATGTGCGACGAAAATACCTAGAAGTGGCTTTAAAACCCATTCAAATATTATATTGTGGCGATAAGGAGTGGGTGGAATGGGGAAAGATAAGGGATATGAATCAGCAAATGATCGACAGAAAAGTTTTTTAAACGATTTGCGTGAAAATTCCCCAGTTACCACGCTTCACTGAACTCGAAATATTTTGTACTACTGTATGTAAAAGATTTATTGTATGTTTTAGATTAGCACCAAAACAATATACCCTTTGTTGCACGGCAGGTAAAAGGTAGTCAAAAAACACAATGGAACTTGCATGTGACGACGCTAAATGCCCAATTAGGCGGCTATAACCAGTTGAAAAACCCCCCCAAGAAACTTGGAGTTCTATTAAGCAGATTAATCCGTTATTGTTATCTCTATAGCCAAAATATTGAGTTAGGGTCACGTAATGTAAACCACTCACTGAATCACTTGAGATAATGGAGGTTCTTTTTATTATATTTTAGGGTAAAACCCTTTTAGTGGAACTGCACTTTGCCAATTGCAGCAATAAAACAGTTTTATAACCACTACATAAATATGAGAGCCCCGATTAGATAAAAGCAATCAGGAATTGGGATTACATCCGCAAAAGCAAAAACCAATGGGGGTGTTAAAACTTATCTAACTGGGTCATAAATGCGCTATTCTTTCATTGTTGGGCTCTGTTTATTGATAGACCTGGATATAAGCCGAGGTGATAATTTACTACGCTTAATATGGGTAGAAGAAGATATATTACTGTTAAAAAATATTTTTTTAGATGGGAATTTCTGTGTAACGATATTTTTTATAACGCCTAACATTTCTTCTAATTAAGCACTATATTTTTTTTTAACAAAAAGTGCTTTTGATATAGACACATGCAAATGCGGAGCTATTCCGGAATCGAAATGTTGCATTTCTGTGACTTTTTCTACTTTCTTTTGTTCGGGGGAACTTCGTACTTCCTCCTCTTTCAAGCTTTCAACCCGTTCACTCTTCATTTGCTTTTTGTCGTGCCTCATTTGCGGTTTCGAGTGCTTTGTACTTGTTTTTTGCTCAAATAAAATAGCAGAAACAACAAACCAAACGTCACACATAATTAACTACACACAGAATGATTGCCTCCCTTTCGAACTCGAGCCTTTCCCATTCGGACTCTCTCTTTCTGTCACGAACCTCCGACAACTTGACGTCATTTGTCATAAAAATAAATCTTTTCTGTCACATAGTTAAATTCTATGCAAATATTTGAGCATCTGCATAGAGTGGGTGAGGGATTAAGATTTAAATTCAAAGACAATGTTTGCTTAGCGGTGGGGTTATATAAAGCAGAAGTGCCGATCATCATTATAATTCTCTAATGTTCTTGAAAAAAAGAAAGTATCATAATGGTATTGAACTAATCTAAATAAAAATCGTTGCCTATTTTTTTTAAATTTGTTTTTCCTATTGATAGCCATATACTTTTTAATATCTAATTGTTTCGATGTAATTATTTTATTTTTATATTTTAATTAAATTGATAATTATTTCTTTATATTTTTTAAAATTTTTTTCTCACTAATAGCCGTAAACTATTTAATATCTAATTGTTCCAAGGTAACACTCCGGATTTCCTAGTCGTTAATGATTTAAATCCCTTGTCAAAATTTGCATTCGCTTTCCGTCAGCATTTAAACCCCCCATTCTAATTAGTTGTACACACTCGACTTTAATACTTTATTTATAGAGCTTTGACGATACAAATCGCTTTAATTACAAATTTCTGTTTTGCAGCGCAATAAAGGGCGAAAAAGCGCAACAGTTGACGCCAACACAAACAGAGAGATACGAATACGTGTTCCAAAGCCAGAAAGGCTAAAACAAAAACGCCAAAAAATATATAAAAAATAAGATAAACATTATATACACTTGGCGGTGGGGCTGACAAAAAACCAAAAGTAAATATACACGCTCGTAAACATTTAATTCAACTGGAGCGGCGGGGGAGAATTGAGCAGGCAAATTCGCTCGAAGAGAAGTCCCCAAGATAATGTGGAAGTGAAAAGCCCCCGAGAGAGACAGTTAAGGAAAATCGGAGAAAGAGAGTAGCTCCAACCTAAAGATAAGGTTTATCGGTAGGCAAAAATGGCCGACGAAGATCTCAGTCCGCTGCCCTTCCGCCGGGAGCGCAATCTCAGCAACCGCAACTTCAACAAGCGAACCTCTCGCCGGCGGATCAGCCAGCAGGCGGTAACAGCGGCGGAGCAGGCCGTCAGTAGCCCACTGGAGACCGGAGGCGACAGTTCCCCGAGCAACAGCAGCTCCAGCTCGTTCCAGCTATCGTACTCCGTGAATTCCGATACGGAGAGTGCCTTCCAGCGACGCTCTCTGCTCAAAATGCACGAGGCAACCAACGGAGGAGGAGTGGAGGTCACCACCCCGGACTCCACCACTCCCATGTCACCGCAAACCCCAGATCCCGCCCTCTTGGATGTTCGACAGAAGGTGCATCGCTTTGAGACCCTGAAAACCACCATCTGCTTTATGAAGCAGGAGAGGCATAGTCTAAAGTTACTGGAGAACCGTCGTCACCCTTCATTCGAGGATTATTCCGGGGATCAACGATCCACACCGCCAGCCACGCCCCCACGGAGGATACGCCTACCGGGATTGGGTAGCAGTCGCAGTAGCTCCATTCGCAGTCTTCAGGGTAGCGAAAGCATACACGAAGTGCGATCCGAGGACGAAGTGGATCAGATATCCGACTTTGAAACGGATCCGCATGCCACAGCCACCGAGGAATACGTACTTGCGGATACCATTTCAGAGGTCATTCCCAGTTCAAGTCAGGAGGAGGAGAATGATGAGGCGAAGAATCAGCAGCAGCAGCAGGTGCAGCGATCCATTAGCGCAGATCAATCCAAAGATAGACTCACATTGCCGCTAAAAATGCGCAACGATTTCCCCAGGTAAATATTTGAATAATGATAAGCCTTATCGGCAAGGGAGGATTTTCAAGAACTTTAGATTGCGCGAAAAACTAAACAGGTGCAGCAGTGTCTGAGGTTCCATTTTAGTTGTGTTCTTCTGTGGGAATACCTTTTTTAAGGTGGGTTATGGAAAAAGTTTAGACTTTCACCTTTAAGAGGTTTATGAAGCGTAAAGATTGCTGTTTTATTTACCTTAAAAAGCTCTACTATTTACAATCCATAAATTAAAAAAGCTCTAAAATTTCAAACTTCAAATTAAGTTTGATTGTTTTGCAGTTTTTGTTTATGAGGTATAAATAATAAGAGTTATTATTGAATCATTAATATTATTTTTTGTTGAATGGATAAACTAACAAATGAATTTCAATCAAAAGCTATTTCTGGATATTTGGAAAAATGTGCATAAGTCAAGGGTTTGTCTCTTTGACAAATCTGGCCTTCCTCCAATCTTAATTAACTAGATTTCGCGGTCGCTGAGCTTCCTTTTCGGTGTCAATAAATCGTATAATGTGAGTCTGCCCATAAAAAAGCGCCCAACTATTCTCAGCACTCGCACAGTCGAAACTTAATTGGCGAAGTGTTAATTGAGTTTTGGAGCACTTTTCGCCAACCGGTTGACCACCAGTGAAAATGCCAAAGCAGAGCAGGCGTTTCGTTGCTTATTCCAGTTTTGACAACTATGCCGAAAATCTAAAAAAATGAACGAATGGAAATCGGTTGCCTTGAAGCAGTTGCAGCTCGATCATGGATGATGATCCCGAAAAGGACGAGGAGGCGAAGAGTCAATCCCAGCCAATCGTGCGAAGCGATGTCTCCGAAGAGGCTCTGGTGGAGCGTGAGCATCGCTCAATAGTCTATACAAGTCCAGTTGGAGTGTCCAAGGGCACCGATACGACGGATGATCCTTTGCCGCCGCGGAAGAAGAAAAAAGATTCCACCAGCGGTGCCGGCGAAGAAACATGCTGGTGAAACGGACTCCCAAACGGATGCAGCGAGTGCCGAGAGTGCGGAGAGCACAGTCAGTGCTCCAAGATCACAACCCTCCTCGCTCCTCCGATCGGCCAGCAGTGAATTCCCCTCCAGCTCCACGCAATCTTCTCACACAGAACATAAAACACAACGAAGTCGTTCTCTGGATAGAGAGAGCTACTCCTCCGAGGAGGAGATGCGCAGGGAACTGGCGTCTAGGTCCAAGATATTTAGGACCCGACATATAGACTATGATACGGCTGAAGTGCTGAAGGAGGGGAAGGTCGATAGCCAGGAGCAACAGGAGAGCGAATACCATCCAGGTGGCAGCACCTCATTTCACTGGCGCCTTTCCGCCTCCTCACTCAATGTTCAGGATGATGGCTGTGTCGCCGGGGTCTGTAGACTAGAGCTTGATAAAAAATTGACCTTTCGATATTTTCGATATTTTCAAGCATTGATACATTAATCGAAAAAATCGATTTTTACCGAGGTTTTCTTATAAACAAATTTAAAAAATTTGTAGATTTTTGTTATCGAGAATATCGATAAAACATTGTAAAAATATCGATAGTTTTTAAAGCTCCTATAAGACTAACTGCATAGTCCTTCTCTAGGTAACTGGTTTCCTGGTAACTGCCTTGGCCATGGCTCTGCTCATTATGATCTCCTGGTTCATCATCTCCCAAATGGATTTTATTCTGAAAGTGGTCACATGGTTGGCCCAATCGCTCGATGAGTCCATGCAAATCTTTTCGGCTGAACGACCGGAGGGGGAAAATCGGCGGCTCGATGAATTCCCCGAAAGAGATCCCCGAAATATGGGTACCGTGTGACTCACTACCCACTGATAATCATGTATGCCTATGCCCTGCTGACATTATCTAAGTAGTTGTGTTTTAAGCTTCTTAAAGGTTGCCACTGGTCTTATCACTAGACCTCCTCCTTCAGCTGACTCAGCCCATGTGGGGGTGGGGTTTTATCTAAACAGTTATCACTTCTGCTCTTGTTTTTGTTATTGTCTCGTCTGTTATTTCCATTGAGCTAAAGATAGCCAGTACTTTATTTAATGTGAATTTTAATCTCTCTTCCTCTATAGAAACTATCGTTCTACGCCGAGACGAAAGACTGAAATCATTGGGACCACCAACGAGCATGTGGTGGGCAAGTTTCACTCGGTCTACCAGCCCAAAGATGAGTGAGTATTAGTTATCGATAGAGAACAATTTTAGAATAAATGATTGTTGTTTATAAAAAGATTTAAGAAAATAGTTCCGTTATAATCCGAACTCTTATTTAATTTAATTTGAAAATATTAGTTATATATTTTTAAGAATTCCTATAATCTTTTGCTAAATATTTATATAATATCTGTCTTTCAGAGAGGAGGAAGTAGAGATCGAGCTGCGCGACAAGAGCGACAAGTGCGTGCATCCGATTCTGGAGGAGCTGATCAAGACGGAGGAGGCCTACGTGAATAACCTTTTCACGGGAATTGAGAATTATGGCAACATTTTCCAGCGCAAGGATCTTCCTTTGGGCCTTCGGGGCAAGAAGTACGATCTGTTCGGCAACATCGAGCAGATCGCCGAGTTCCATCGGGACGAGTTCCTGCCCATGCTGCAGCGCAATCGACGCGATCTAAAGCGATTGTTCGATGAGTTCCTGCAGTTCCTAGATGTGAGTTTTATATAGTTTATATAAACTCAATGTTTATAAACTAATTTGAATTTTTCTTCTTTAGCAAAACTGCTTTTATGGCTATGTTATCTTCACAATGAACAAGCAAAAGTCCCTCAAACTGTGCGATCTCTATAAAAATTACTTTACAGTAAGTTTAGAAAATATTTCGGATAGTAAATTTATTTTAATTTATTATTTTTTTACTTTTCCCAGAGTATTCGCCTGGAACGCGATGATAAGTTGGGCATTAATAGCTTTCTGGTCCAACCCATTCAGCGCATGGCTCGTTATCCTTTGCTCCTGACGCAGTTCATCAATGTGAGTTACTTCTTGATATAAACTCTTGTCCAGTAAGCTAATGATTTGTTTAAAATACCCCCTAGACCTTCTTCAAGAACCGTGATATAGTGATGAAGCCACTAATTGAGTCCTGCTGTCGGTTGGAGAAACGACTGCGTTCCCTGCTGACCACCACCAATGAGTCGGAGATCATCAATGACATAGTGGACTGTCATGAGGTGGGCATTACTAATAGAGCTTACCTCATCATCCTACTAATAACTCCTCTATCCCCGTATAGTTCAATGTCTACTATCAGGGCAAATTCCGCAAGGTAAACGAGTTCCAGGTGCTCGATCACAAGCTAAAGCGCAGCTATCGAGCCAAGGTCTTCATTTTCGACAAGTGCATTATATACACGGAGATCAAGGGCAAGAACCTGATCTTTCACGGTCGTTATCCTTGCGAGCACATTGGCATCTCGGCCAAAACAAAGTCATTTACGCTTTACTATGAGCGCAGGAAGCAGCAGGAATGTGAATTCAGCGCGGATCCAGTGCAAATTGCCGCCTGGTTGGATTTAATCCGGGATATGATCAATAATTTCGCTAACGAGGAGCGAGCGAAGCTGCAGGAGCGCTATTCCCGCGAAAACGATCACCTGCATCGCAAGGCTCCCAGTTTTTCGCTCTATCGCGACTCCAATCGCTTTAGTTCGGATAGCGGAATCGGTAATATCTGGATAATGCCGAAACCAGACGAAGAGACGATCAGCAACAGGACTACTTGGTATGCGGCCTCCTAAATTGGGATTCTTAAAGAGGATCGTTGTTCGGTCATGGAAAATCGTCACTTCCGGAAAGATATATAAGGATGATCCCATCCGATTCTATCTGGAGTTTTAATAGGGTGGCCCAATTGAAAGGGCCACTAAGCCCAGCCAAGTCAATAAGCAAAATTGTTTCAAATTCCTGCAATAGGAAATCAAAAACAAGCTTTTTTCGATTTGAATGCTAAATAACCAAATATTGAATTATAAGTTTAGTTGGTTAATTAAGTTGTATATATTCCTGTTTTATTGTTGTCACAAATTGGAAATCGTTGAACGTATGAACTATTGTGCCTAGCTTAATAAGCTTTTTGTTGTGTGTAAATATTGATAAAAGAAAAAGACGTTTTAAATAAAATGAAAGAAAATTTAAATAAATACAAAAATGTAGGTTTAAAAAAATAAAAAAATATTTTTCAAGGGAGCTAAAATGTTGTATTCATTCAACAAGTCATCAGAAATTTAATGACAAAGATGAAGCCCTTGAATCGGATTTTATTTTTATCACTAATTCCCACCGTTATTCATTGAGGAAATATTTGTGCACAATATTTTAGAAAATCAGGCACTTCCTTCCACTTTCCGCCAGCGGAATCACACGCTTCGCAGACGTCAAAACAAATGAATCTATCATGAAAAGGTCGCACGCCATCGGCGTTGTCATGAGAACCAGACGTGAGGCAGCTGTTATGGATCCCCTGCCCGAGATTCCCTCCATTCAGCCATTATATCCACCTCATCACTCTTAATATTGTTAATGATACGACACGCAATACTCAAAACAGCCAGCGAAACAACTTGTTTCTGACTGTGACATCACTAAGAAAATGTATAAAAATAAACAAATGGCGCATATAAATAAATATAAGCAATTATTATTGTTTGCCCCGCTGATCGCTCAGCTTGCAGCTCATCAATCGCGCCCAGAAATGCTCGATGTTTATTTATAATTCCCATTGTTTTTATTGCAGCCTCATCAGGGAATTCTTTTGATTTTAAATGGAGGTAGGGTGATTGTCTAAAAAAGAGAATCAATTGTGTAAATAATAAAATGTGAACAATTTAAATGACGAAATTCGCAAATGCAAATGACAATTTTCCGGTGATCTGCATGAGATCATCACTTGAGAATTTACTACCCGTTCTCTTAAACGTTAAATGGTTGGGAAATTTGATATTATACCGAATAACTATTTTGATTTATAACTAAATTCGGAGAGTGCCAAAAACCCGATAAATCGAAACAAAATCCAACCAGTTTACTTGCCACTCAAAAGTTCAAGGCGAAGTCGAAACCCCTGATTATAGGTAGTGATTGGGCCATAATAACAGTTATTGCCCGGCCATTAGCCAAAGCCAACTAATTGATATGCAAATATGAAGTCATAAACGATTAAATGGCTTCATAGCCATGATGAAAGCAAAAGTGTTACAGACTTTGTTCAAATTCTATTCCAATGCCAGACAGACAAAATCGAAATGGTTTTCACAGTTTCAAATGGTTTGCGATGTTTACAAACAAAATGCTCGGCGCGTGGTCAGATATACTTAGCTTTTGATGATATCTCAAAGAGAATCGAATCGCTGGGAAAAAGAGAATGATCGGAGGAGCTTTTCATAAGCTTTTTCAGACATTGCAAATGCTCTCCGCTCCGTTGGAAATTTCGCTCAGTCGAGTTTCGCGTTTGATTCGCAGTGGATCGCGGTTTCGGAATATACCATAATATTATACCTTATATAGTACAAGTTTTGCCATCGATATGCGTCGAATTCGTCGCCGGTTGTGTCTATAGAAAGCTGTGACAATAACGAAATCAACCATTATGGAGCTAACAATATTCACCTTAAATTGGTTCGATGTGATTTCGGTGGCGCTGACATTTCTGGTGATTTTCCTAGTCCAAGTGCTCAACGTTTACTTGCATATACTCGACGATAAATGCGATAGTAATGGCAAGTCGATCGATGTGGTCGACAAAGCCCCCGCGAAAGAATGTCCGATACTGGAGGGGCATATCCCCGGTTCACCCATTTCCACCACTCCGCCACCAAAATCCCCGACATCGGCCAACGGAAAGTTGGAAAAGCAAATAAGTCTGCTGGACAACGATAGGTAGGAATGAACCCCCGCTAAACCTCCACTTAACCCTCTGTTTACCCATGTTTTTTGTTTGAACGTGCCTTTCTATCTGACAGATGTTTGCTGTTTTTCCATCGCAATAAATGTCCATTATTGATTGTCCGACCTTTGCTTTGCTTTACACCACTCACAGTGCGTATACGTGATAAGATAACGTATAAGCCCAGGTTATTTTTAAGCCTTTTCACGGTAATTGCTGTCGGGAGTGGCTAAGTTCATGACATGCATTATAAACATGTTACGGAGTTAATTCGCACGACTGATCACAGATAAGAGAAGTGCTTTTATCATAGTGGTTTTTGGTTTTTAGCGCAGGAAGGAAGTTGTTAAAAGATTGCATGTGCTAAAAAAAGTTTTACAAAGGAAGTGGGTTATAGAAGTCGTAAATGGGATTCCCATTAGATATAAAATGTGTGTTTCTTACTTTGCACTTTGACTTGCACTTAGAATTTGCGGTTTTCTTTATGAAACACAATCTATAACTTGAAGCATTATCTTTAAATTTATTAGTGGCTTTCCCTTTTTAAGTGCCAACGAAAGTATTTCATCATTGCAATTGAAAGTTAAGTTTGAGAACTCTTGAAATTCTATGATAATGATATTTCATTTATTTAGAATTTTTGTTTCCGTTATTTTTTGCTAAAATGATAAGTTGGCGACGCCTACTAGGCTTTCAGAGTTTTTTTTTTTATTTTTACTAATTGTTTCAATAATAGAAACTACACCTGTTTAGGATTATATTTCGTTTTGTGTTTTCATATTGCTCTGTTAATATACCCACCACATTTACAAGTGTTCCTCATTCACGGCTTGTTGTTCTCGTGTTCTCGTTACTGTTCTGTTTCCAGCGGCATCTCATTGGGTTCCATCAACACCTGTTCAACAACTGCAGCCAACTCATCCCCAACACACCGAACACACAACGGCTTCCACTCTTTCCCTTCGCACACTCTGAGTTTTGAGACCCTCGGCGATGAGTAGTAAGTACAAAAGTCATACTCATCCGCATTAGCAGTTTGTTGGTAATTGATTTGGTAATTAACCCTTGACCATCCACCTCAAATTTACCTTAGCCACGAAGATGAGGATACATTGTCGCTGGAGAATTTGTTTCCCTGCGATCAAACTGAAATCTATGCCTCCAAGAAGATCAGTTTTATCATTGACGAGCTCATCCAAACGGAGGTTAACTATGTGAATAACCTGAAGAAGGGTATGGTGAACTATGGAAAGCTGAAGGATGTGGAAGACCTGCCAGAAGGACTAAGTGGCGAATCGAAGCAGAAATTGCTACTGGGAAATATCGAGGAGATTCTGGAGCTTCATGAACAGGAAATACTGCCGCTCATGCTGCGCAATCAGCGGGATCTCAAAGGTCTATTCGACGAGTTCGCAGTACATTTCGAGGTGAGTCGAGGGGTATGTTTATAAGGAGGGGTACTCTGATGGCGTGGGTTGGGTCCATTAGCCAAACTCGTGTCGCTTAGCCAAGTAGCCGTTAGACAGGTTCCGACATCTCATCTATCAAAATTCTTTTGTCTTCCCCGGGCACTTGAGGTGCCTAATTTCAGCCTCAAATATTTACACATTTCAGAGTTGATAGGTCTTTTTCTTTCAAACTTGACACCTGCGATGGGTGTCTCGTTTCTTTATTACCTTTTGCTTTGTCGAGGTTTTTTTATTTTTATAACTTAAAGCCCGAGACTCGTGTTTTAATGCAAATGAAGCTACAAGCTGTGCGAGAATTTCAATCCACGTTTGTATTTATTTTTATAATTTTTTACATTTATTATTTAATTTGCTCACACCTTGCAACAAGTGTGTCACCCGAATTCATGAATATTCCAGTGCGTGCGCTGTATAAATTGAAATATTTATCCCAGATCATTTGCAGAATGACGAATGGCCTGGCTTAGTGAAGTCCCCTGATAAGATTGAAGTAATCAGCGGAACGCCATAATAATAAAATCAACACACAGGCACAAAAGCTCGCAGTTAGTTACGAAAATCGGTTGATAATTGTTGGGGCAAACAGACCTTTTTATGCCTGGGCTGGGGTTCCATTTGCTGGCAGCTGACGTCATCGGTTCTCGTGAGGAGAGTCGACAATTGCTGCTCGGGGCTTGTCGGATATATCTATAGAAATCCCCAAATCATCTCGTTAAAAGTACTCATTTCGGAATGATTTTTTCGGCCCACTAGAGAGCGGCCATGTGGTCATGTCGAGTTAAGTGTTGACAACGCAAATGTGATCAATTTAAATTGAAATTGAAATTGTTTGCGACTGAGGCCTGTAGAATTCTTCGTCGGTTCTTATGTCATTCTTAAGTTCCGAGAAATCCCGAATATAAATTAAACATAAGGCAAAGGAGTACAGTAAGCTGAAAAAACTGTTTTCAAAGCAGGTAACATTCTTTTTGAGCACCCTGAGGATTTGCCATCTTAATGCTCGACAGACATGCTAAGCCCCTGGGATCTGATTTATGTTTTTTCTGTTTTTTTTTCGTATTCCTTTTCCCCACAACCACTTTGCATTCTCTTTGGCCCAAACCAAACAAACTTTTCTGACTCACAGGACGAGAGAGAAAAGCGAATTAATTTGGCTAAATATATCATAAAAATGTTCGAAGATTTGTTTATACATATTTTCTAAAATTTTACTTTTCCCTGGTCAGTTTTGGCAGCATGTTGTATAAACAAAAGACGCGCACCCCACTTGTTGATAAATATAATTCTGTGTGCTGTGAATTTCCTCTACGACTTTCAGACTCGTCGTCATTTGCAAATTAATGAGGCTTTTCACAAGCAATTGCCAAATCGATTAGTTCTGACATCAATTGATGTGGCGGCTGGATAGGCCTACTATTGATTAATGTTAGACTGGAATCACTATTTTGAATCACTTTTTGGTCTCGAACAGAAGAACTGGCCATAAACAGAGTCGCCTTCATTTATTAATCGGCTTTAAATGGCCAAAAACATCAAGTGACAAGCGTGTCGATCAGACTTCTCACCATCAAATCGAATCAAAAACAACCACACACGCAAAATCAATTAAAAGTTTTACCACATTCGGATGGATATTTGAGTGGTCCAAGGGGTTGGGGATTTTCAGATTGATGCAATCGATTTGGCGATCAGAATCGTTGAAGATGTTTGATGCGAAATAAACAAACGAGGATGATATTGATGGGGAAGCCTCTGACGGGCTATAAATTCTATTTATACAGCTGTGTTCAAAAAATAATAATAATACATTTAAAACTAACGAAAAGGTTTTTTTTATTATTTTATGTTGTTATGTTTTCTAAGTTTGCAAATAGCTTCCTTCTTTTAATATTATTTAAAATATTTTTTCCACCTTCAAGGAATATACAAATACTTTTGAATATTTAAGAAGTCATTGTATTTATTTCCCACAATCTTTAAAATAGTTAAATACTTTTAATTATTCTAAGATTTAGTACCGTTATACTATAATTTTGAGCCCATCTGTATATATTTGAAAACGCTTTGATGGCTATATTTACAATTTGTATATACAAGCAATCGTTTTAAAATATAGATCAATAAAAATTATCCTCCATTAACCCCGCTGACATTTAGGTGTGATTTATAGGAAAGAGTGTAAACTATATAAATAGCCCACACATTATATGTGTATTACCTTCTCGCCACACAGAAGAAATAACTAAATTAGGTGGAATGCACTGCAGATAGGAATTTCATGCTAATAAAATACACGCCCACCAGAGAAAATTTTGCAAAATGCAAAATAATATAGATTGTCACCTTTTGCCCGCCGTCGACGAGGCGACAATTGTTTAAGGCAGTCAATTTGTCCACCTAAATCGCATTAGACATGCAAAACCCAGAGCCCCCGGAATGGAAAGGGAAATATTATGGCTTAGCCCGCCGAGACAGAGAGATGATTATCATATCATCTAAATGCAGAACTTCCAGCAGAACTCTGACTCTGATTCTGATTCCGCAGCCAGGCGGAGCTAATGAAATTAAAATGGAAAGGAAATCGTTAGACAAGCAATTTTCTTAGCAGTTTGCACTAGTTTCGGTTTGGGAAAACATTTGCATTGGCATTGGCCACAGATAGCGAGAGGAATTTCAAATTTTCGCTCCGGCTTTGCCAAGTCCGGAGTTACGTGACTTAAATGCTTAAGAAATTATGATTTCGCCACCAGGCAGCAAACTCGCATGTGTTTGCTTAGCACCGTATATGTGTATATATTATATCAGCGATGTGCCAAATGTGAGTCTGAAGCACATGGCTCAGACAGAAAGGTTTTCTGAACTTCAGTACAGCCAGGGGAAAAATAACAAAAAAATTTTGAATTTTAGGTGCAAGGTTATCATCTGCCTTTTCTTTTATTTTCAGAAAAATCACTTCTACTGCTATGTGAGCTTCACTATGGGCAAGAAATCCTCTATGCAACTGCGCCAGGATAATCGAATGTGGTTGCAGGTAAATATTTTATAGAAAACCCTTTCTAAAATATTTTTATTTTAATACTTAAAATCCTTTCAGGCATATCAAACCCAAATAAAAGACAAGCTGGGCATCGACAGCTTCCTAGTTCAGCCCATCCAAAGACTGACCAGATATCCTTTGCTCCTGCAGCAATTCATATCGGTAAGTAGCTATTTCTAGGGTACTAAGTTTTTTATTAATCATTTTCTCATTTCAGGAATTCTACAAAAGTGGCATTAGTTGCAAACCTGTGCTAACTGCCGTTTGCAAATTAGAGACGCGGATGAGGCGTGCTCTGGATGTGGTCAATCAGGCCGAGGAGATACCCAATATCGAGGAGCTCAACGAGGTAGATTAAAAATTATTATTAGTTTTAATTTATTAATTCATTTTATAGATTAATAGATTTTTCCCTGTTTAAAAAATCGACTATAAGTTTTATTTGTAACTTTTGAAACTCAAAAGTTAATTAAATCAATTGAATTCAACTTTGAAATGTTTTCTACACATTAAATTATTTCTCTAATATTTAATGCTGATTTCTAAAAATTGTCCATTGAAGTGGAAATGACATCGACTTATTTATTTTAATTTTATTTGTTTTTGTTTTAGGCCTAGAAACTTTTAAATTCAGGGCGAATATTTGTTAGCTTTTTTGCTTAATTGATTACTAAAACTAATTTTTTCTCCTCCCCAGTTGGACCTCCTGCAACTGGGTAACTTCCGCCGCTCGACGGAGTTCGATGCCCAGCACTTTCCCACCCGGAAAAAGTACCGCTCCAAGGTCTTCCTGTTCGACCGCAGTTTGGTCTGCACGGAGGTGCGAAAGAAGCGGCTGGCTTACCGGCAGCACTACAACTGGGAGCACGTGGAACTCCAGAGGCCGCTGGACTCGGCCTCCTCCAATGCCAACAAGATCATCAACCTGCTGGTGAAGCAGCAGGAGGGAGGAGCAGGATCTGGCTCATCTGGATCATCCAAGAAAGAGGAGTACTCCTTCGTGGCCACAGAGGCGGCGGTGGTGAAGCAGTGGCTTCAGGCCACCCACAAGATCATCGAGATCGCGAGAAACGAACACGCGAGGAGAAATACCTTCAGTTTGCCAATGGATTTGGTACTCGGAGTGGTCCTGGCCATCTGGCTGATATGGCAGTACTTGTAGATAATCGTAGACCCCACCTCAGCACACAAACACAAAAACCATATGTCTCCATCTATTCCCCATCCACTCACAACTCTAGATCTTAGATTTCTAAGAATAAAGCTAAGTTATTTCGTAGTCCCCGCTTCCGTTTCTTGTCCTCGCTGCCTGTCCGAGCGTAAAATAAGCTGCTGCAGTCGCCTGACAAATATTCATGATAAATTGCCTTTGCAGTGGCCAAGTCCTGTCCTTGTTGTACTTGCAGCAAAATGTAAATAGCTCTTCATCTTCTTCGCCAGCACACACAAAGGCACAAGTACAGTATACAGTGAACAGTGTGTGTGCCTGCCACCGAAAAATGTATGACAAATCTATTTATTTAGAATTTATGACGGCCCAATGCAGGAAGTCCCCCGAAAAGAAGGCACGTCACGGTCTACGAAAATCTAATGAACCATGGCCAAGGATGTGAATATGAACTGCTAAGGAGCTGATGGTTTCTGGGAGTGTGTTATAAAGTAGTTGGTTTGGTTTTAAAATCAAAAAGGTCTTTCAATGACTAAGAATTTGAAATGGAATTTTAGAAGGTTTTCAAAAAACTTATCATCACTGAGTGGGAATTACCTATATAAAAAAAAATGAGATCACAGAATTTACAAAATATATATTTCCACTTGCAATTATCTGAATAATTACGGTTAAAGTTAAATTTAATAGAAAACTCATGTAAAGCGACGAATCTGAATTATTAATTTAAATTCCGGAAAGTAGACTATAAATATCAGCGAATTCTCCCAAAAGGCCGCTCAGAAAAATGCTTTTAAATATTTAAAAAATCTAAATATTCCTACATATTGCCAACCACTGTGTGACAGACTTCGATTGAAACCAAATCAAAAACTGATTTCCCACATTACATGGCCTGATTATCCGGTCAACTGATAATCAAGAAAAAAAGCATAAATGTGTGTAAAAGAAAATAGCCCCCTCCAATTTTGTTGCAACATCAAAGAGTCCCGAGTGCACTAATGAAGTTAAAAAGGATACGGGGGTGGGGGGTTCCATCTGGTTCTATTTCCATGTCCTTGGGTGTGGGTGTGTGGGGTGTATTGGTGTTTGTGCTTGGGATGTGACAAAATTTGCACAAAAGCAATTTGTTAAAAGGGCACAAAAAATAAAACGCGACTCCTTTGACATCTGGCTGGAGAATTTCCCGGCATGTGAGTTGCTGTCTAAGCAAATTTTGGTTCCCATTTTCCTATCTCCTTGCCATATATGTGCTCATTTTGTTGGTTGCTCTCCGCTGTTGGTTTATTATATTATGTCATTTATGTTGGCATGCCGCCATCGCATCCGCTTGTCGTTTGCTCAAGGGATAAAGGATGTTGCTGTGGATGTTCGGAGGAAGCTGAAGCTAAAGCTAAAGGATAATGCCCGTGTTCTTACCAGGCAGCTTAAGTGTATTAATGTCTGTCAAGTAGTTGTCACAAAAGTGACGTGTATGTAAACGATTTGACATTTTTATGAGCCAAAAAACGTCGCAGAGCTGAAAAATTACAAAATTTTCCCCATCTCGAGTCTCAAGCTAAGGATTCCGCTCTCATCCATCCTCTTTCAATATTTTTGGGCCATTGGCTTTCGAGCTGTTCTTAATTTTTGTCTATGCCCCTCACGTAGTTTTTGTTCTACACGCTCCACATGTTTTTTTGTAAACTAAATGCATAATTTGGAACGCAAAAAAAAGTGAAGAAAAAGAAGAATTTGCCAATAGAATTGTAGAATGCCAGGGGCATAATTTATTTGAATTTTTTTCGGGACACGTCGTTGGGCGCTGCGAGGACGTTGAACAAATTTGCCAAGTAATTGCACAAATTATTGCACGTAGGCGTTGGGCAACACATGATGGCTGGGCGCCACAGATGTCACTGCGAGATATGCTCCCTTTCATGCTACATTAAATTAACTTGACACACAGGCTAGCGCTCTGTTGCCACAACTGTTGCTAATTTTTGCTTAATATGCCCCACACACGGATCTCTCGCCTCCATTTGGATTTGTGCGTATCCAATTCACGCCTCAGCGCCAGTTGTTCTGTCCCCCCAATCCATCGAATATACTCCCGTATATATCCCAGCCTTTATCTCCCCCACAATTGTATGGCCATCCCAATTCCAATCCCAATCCCATGTAAATGCAACACAACACTTAGGCACGCATCCAGCACACATCTTCATCCATCCAGCATCCGTCCAACATTTTCCGCCTCGTCTCCGGATTTGTGAATTCGTTTAGTTCTTTCCTCCGGGTGCTTGAAAAAGTTCAAATTTCAGCTGCGAAATGGCACGTGAAACAATGTGCTTCTCGGGCTGTGGAGTTGGAGTAATCGGCTGGGTAAACAGTGGAATAATTCAGAAATAAATGTTAACAGGAAGAAAATAATTTTGGAAATTAATATAAATAATATAAATTACTAAATATAAAGAATTGTGTGTGTGTATCCAAGTGATTTAAAATATTAGTGAAATGATTTTAAAATTCCTTCAAGCTTTATTTATTTAATGCAAATTAAAAACTCCAATAATAATTTTGGGATATGTTCAAAATATCTGAAATATGAAAAATCTATCTATTTTTTCTCATTAACTATTAGTTTATTAAACGTTTTATTAAATCTTATTGAAAAAAGATTCCAAATATATTTACACTTAAATATTTTTTTAAGCACTAAAAACTCAGATCCTGCCCACTGTTCCGGTTACGGTGGCACAAATCAAGCAGAGCGACAAATGCCCATGCGAATGTGTGAATTTGCCGACGATGACAACTGATAAAAGATCGAATTGCGCATCTGAATTCCGAGGAGAGTCCTGGGACACGTTCCGCCAAATAGGCAGGGGCGTTGGGTTAAAGGGGGAGCACCCTTAAGACCTCGGGTTAGGCATAATGCCGCCTGGCATTAGATAAAAAACAAAGGCATGTAATTTTCGGGGCATGGCCTAAAGCCACAGAACGAGTAGAGTGGAGTAGCGGAAACGCTCGATAATCGCACAGAGTGCAGCGTCATGTGTGTGGGTGGGGTGGACCAAAACCGAGGGGGCGGGGAGGCTGGCACGTTCAAGGATGAGGTTGCTTCCTGATGGCTGATAATGCGGGGGCGTCGAATCACGTAGGGCTAGGGAAATACCCACTCCCTCATTGATAAATGCCCTCCGTTAAGTGGCATGTTTTGGGTTAAATGCGGTGTAAAATGTGCTAGCCCCCTAACCCCTAATGGCATAATAACCTGGCACTGGAAAGAAAATCAGATCTATAAGGATTACTAAATACTAAATTCAGCGCTTAAAGTAATTTTCATGGGTTAACCACATACCTGTTGCATACTGTGCGTGTAGCGGCAGAGAACGGGCAGAGCTATTTTCCTATTTAATTGTATTTCTTAATAATATTTTTCCCCAAGTGTAATCGAAACGAGAAACGGTAACTCCGGCTGAATGACAGTTCAGTTAGCAGCCAGGAGGACAACAAGTCGCACCAGCAGCACCTTGAAACTGTCAACCTGGGCGCAGTGACGTAAATAAATCGCCCATCGTTGGAGCGCACCTGACGCTGTCAACATATGTGTGCTCTGCGACAAGGAAATGCAGAACGCTTCTGGACGGGGATCGGGATCCGGAGCAACCGGCCTTGTACATACATCTTGCTTACAGGGCGCCAAATTGAAATTTAAAACGAGAAAACCAATAAAAAACAAGTTACAGACGCCACCGACGGGCGGCACGGGCAATACAAATTGCACTGACGACAGCTGAAAGGCCAGTTCAGTTCCTAGGGAATCCACCCAGAAATCAGCCAAGGAGCAGCAGGAAGAACCGAAACCACCCGATCCCAAATGCAATTCGCGCCCGGGACCAGCATACAAATGCCTTCAGCCAAAGGATAATATAATGCACGTTGTTGAAGAATAATGGTCCTGCCAGAAGACAACGTCGCCATCCAAGGGACTAAGCATGTCTGCCATTCCGAAAAAAGGAAGAGAGAGAGGAAGGGAGGGAGAGGTCCTGTAAACCCTCTCCTTCTATCCAGGATCCAAGGAGCGGACAATAACGATGCCGGCAACGGCAATGACAGGCAATTTTAATAGAATCTGCCGACGGGTGTGGGTCTACGGATGTGGACTTAACTTGGTGCGTGCCTTGGCCTTAACTTCTTGTTTGGGAACATGAACATCCCATCCAGGACAGCTTCAATTTGCACCACCAGCCTACGAGTTCTTGCAAGTCCTTCCAAGGATCCCCCAAAGGGGTGTGAAATACTGGGGATGGGCATGTGATTTATGTATGGCCAAAGTCAACAATCAATATTCAAATTCACACAGAACCTGTTGAGATCCGTCTGCTTTTTGAATACGTCATGGTTGTTTAAATTTTTAAATGACTGCAACTGGGAAACTTTTTTCAGATTAGAATAGCAATTTATTGGACTTTTGATTTAGCGGGGAGACACATTTTTGATAAGGAAAACTTTTATTCATCACACAGAAGCTTACCTTGTGATTTAATGAGCATTGAAAGACCTCAAATGTTGTATAATAGTAAATCTAATTAAAAATGGTACTTATTCGGAAGATCCCACACTTATTGTTTTTCCCACTTGATTCAACAAATGAAATCAATTTCTTTGTGTGTATAAGCTTCTTATCATCCCACGCTTTCAAAAGACTCGAGTGTTAATAATCTCATCGTATATATTTTGTAAAGTTAATAATCTCAATTGACTGACTGGGCAATCTCGCTCCCCAAGCCCCTTGTTTACAACTTGGCGTTGACGTGGATGGCCAGCACTCCGTCGTCCTCAGAGCTGCCGATGTAGACACTGGCCCGTCCGTCGGATCCCACGGAGACGCTCTTCCCGGTGCAGGAGGAGCCGCTCTTGGCGCCGGAGATGACGTCGCAGTAGGTGCCCGCGGGCAGTCCGGTCTGCAGGGAGCTGTTCAGGTCGTAGTTGTCGTTGTTGAAGGCCACGAATCCCTTGCTGCCGCGGCTGAAGGAGATCTGGTTGCTGCCGTTGTCCCACCAGTTCTGGATGGAGTCGGAGCCCACGGTGTTCCTGAAGGCCACCATGCTGTAGATCTGGCGCCA